CCCCCCCCCTTTCCCCGAGGTCCCCCAGGCTTCCAGGCTCCTCTCTGTGTCCAGAGCTTGTTGGGGGGTGCCCCCCAGGCTTTCTTCTGCCAGAGGGTCAACGCTCCCTTCCCGAATTCCTTTCATCGGGATTTGCATTCCATTGCAGAATGAGCCACCCCGAGGTGTCACCTCCCTTCAGAGCACCAGCATGTCTTGATTTCTGCATTCTCCTGGCCCTGCACCCCTCTCTATTCAATCTCTGTACCCTGTGTCCTCAGTCCTGGCACTCCTGTCCCCCTGGCTTCCCATGACCGTGCCAGGGGGTGGCTGGAGATGCCTGCTGTGCATTGGAGGTGCCTCTGTGGCAGGGATGGGATGGGATGGGATGGGATGGGGGTTGGTATTTAGGGGTTGGCCATGGCACCCTCTGGGACACTCCATTCACTTGGAGCATATTCCAGCTTGGGAGCTCCCTCCCCATCATCCCCAGCCCCAGGGCCACCTGAAACCCTTCCTCCAGGACCCTTGGGAGGTGGGGACTGTCCAGGTGTCACAGTGGGGCTGCCCAGCTCCTGCTCTCACAAAAGCAGGATTTGCTTTGCTGGGCTCAGCAGCAGCGATCGGAGCCGCGGTGAATTCCTCATTCCTGTTCCCTGCGCTGTGCTGCCTGCCTGCCATCTTTGCATGCAAACAGTAAACAGGCTGTTATTATCCTGGATGCTTTGAATAACTGCGGCTATTTTTTCTCTTCCCAGTATTCTAAAAAGGCAAAAAATTCCCTGCGGTTTCTGAGTCAATTTTTTTTTTTCTTCCCTCGCTCTCTTTTCTTTCCTTCCCACCACCTCTGTGACCTTGAAAAACCAGGCGGATGAGCTCCCCGGCTGTCTGCGCTCGCACCCGCTCCCCGAGCCGCTCCCGCTGCTCTCCGTGGCCGGCAACCACGGGATTCGGGGCTGAGCCTGGAGGTGGCGCAGCGCTGGGCAGGCGTCTTGCTCATCTCCTTCCCTGCAGGAGGAGCTAGGGATGCTCAGGGAGGTGTTGGGGATGCCAGAGGAGCTTGGGGGTGCTTGAGGAGCTGGGAATGCTGGAGGTGCTGCAGGTGCTGGGGATGCTTGAGGAGCTGGGGATGCTGGAGGTGCTGGGGATGCCTGAGGAGGATGAGGATGCTGGAGGTGCTCAGGATGTTGGAGGCTTTTGGGATGCTGGAGGTGCTGAGGATGCCCAAGGATGCTGGGGATGCTTGAGGAGCTGGGAATGCTGAATGCACTGGGGATGCTGGAGGTGCTCAGGATTTTGGAGGCTTTTGGGATGCTGGAGGTGCTGAGGATGCCCAAGGATGCTGGGGATGCTGGAGGTGCTGGGGATGCTTGAGGAGCTGGGAATGCTGGAGGCACTGGGGATGCCACAGGAGGATGGGAATGCTGAAAGCACTGGGGATGCTGGAGGTGCTGGGGATGCTGGAGGTTTTGGGGATGCTGGAGGTGTTGGGAATTCTTGAGGAGCTGGGAATGCTGAAGGCACTGAGGATTCTGGAGGTGCTGGGGATGCTTGAGGAGGGGGATGCTGGAGATACTGGGGATGTTGGAGATGCTCAGGATGTTGGAGGGTCCTGGGA